TGTCGTAAGTCACCAGAAGTCACATTCACAGGAAACCAGAGCTCGGCTGGTAGCTGGGTCGCTGGGAAGGTAAGCATTTACCAGGGCATTTACCAGGGCACACGGCCCTGAAAGCACAGAGCTCCTGCATCTGGACGGGCTGAGGCAGGCCCGCCTGGATGCAGAGTGGGAGGTGCAGCCCAACCCAGTGCTCCAGCCACGAGCCCGGGATGGCTTTGGAGGTCTTGCTAGATTCCAAAAGAAAAGAAAGGCCTCTGGCTGCAGAAGCAAGGGCACGATGTGTGCACGGGAAACTAAGGCTAGTATTTGGAGGTGACGGTCATACCTAGATGCTTGGATGCCATGACCAAATTCCCCCTAGTGGCCTCCCTTCTCTGGCACAAAGGCAACTGTGGCTCAGTTGACTCCAGAACTTTTATCAAGAGCTATTTGCCAGGAAGCCTCAGTGAGGACAAGCACAGTGGCTGCCAAGATTACGAAGCCCTCACTGCTTCTGACACTCAGTCCAAAGCCCAGCATGGACTCAGTCCAAGGGGACCCAGTTGTCCCAGACTCAGGGCTCTCTCATGCATCAGGGATCAGGGGAGGGAAGCCACCTCTTCCTCTCCACTGGGTTAGTTTTCTCCTTCTAGCATCTCTGATAAAGAGCGAACATGTGGATGAAACAGCTCCTCATACAAAGAAGCCACCAAAGCCCTGTGCCAGGGAGCCCACGTGTGAGCCTTCAGTCTGGCCGTGTGCTGGAGCCCCTGCCGCAACCACATTCTTGCAGTGGTTGAAGTATGTGCAGATCTAACTTCAGATCAACTTGCAAACATCTTAGAGACACCAGCACAAAAGGGAGATGGCCTGGATGTCAGGGAACAGGTGAACAGCGCCACCATCTCCTGAAGAACAGATTCTGAAAACTACAGAAGAGCAGACTCCCTCCAATTTCAAGGAAAACCTAGAGAAGGCGTGAAAGAAGCTGGCTAGCTTTTGGGAAGAAAGTGGTGGTCTCTAGGAGGTACACAGGTTCTCTGAGAGAAAGTCATTCCATGCTAACCTCATTTCCTGTTTTGACGAGCTTCACCAGCACAGTCAATTAGGGGAATGCCCCAGAAAGTGTGTCTTGCTTTCAGCCGAGCATCTGAAAACTTCTCATCATATCCTATCTAGGTAAGTCCAAAAGACGGGTCAGGTGATGATACGACCCAGAGGGTTCCTGACTGGCTGGACAACCGTCTCCAGGGAAGGCCGACTCAGGGTATCATGTCCATCCTGCCTACCTTTACTCCCACTGTAGTCCCTGTACAGGGCCCTGCTGTTCACGCCACCACTGACATCTCAGAGGGCCACTGACAGCAAGCCTAGGTGGAAATGACTCTCCACAGCTGTACACATAAGCAAGTTGAGGACCCCGAGGTGACAGCATCAGCCTGTGGTCGGACACCAAGGTCACTCTTTGGAGGGCAGCAGAAACGATGCTCATGGGAAACTCCAGGGCTCTGTCCTGTGTGCTGTCCCATGTGCCATTTGTAAAGTCATCTGCAAGGAGCAACTGAAGGCGCACTTACTGAATGGACCACTCTTTGAAATGTCCCCAAAGAAGGAAGCAAGGCTCAAGGGCTAGAAAGCTGGGGTGAGACACGGCAGCACCAGTGCAAAGCGCTGTTTCCATCAGGCCCACAACCCACTCCAGGAGCAAAGCCTGCGCCTGTCTGCTTCCAGTTCCACAGCTAAGCACGTGAGCATAGCCAGGACTATAGAAAAGCTTCACTTGTAAAGATGGCGCTTTCCTGGGGTGTCAGACGCTAAAAACCCTCTCCTACTAACTCAGGGCCTTGTGAGAATGAAGTGAGTCCGAGATGTTCAAGCGCTTTGAAAAAGGGAAAGCTCTGAAATTCAAAATAGTATTATTCTTTGTTGTAAGGTGCTTTCCCTCCAACACGAAGAGAAAATCTGACAGTCTCTAAATGATAAGTAGAAAATGATTCAGCTTTGGCTTCTGGTTCTTCAGCTTTAACCCCAACCTGGCCGAGCTTGCCGAGCCGTCTCCCTGGGCCCGTTTCAAAGGCCTTGTGTCCTCTAAGCAGCAGCATTTCTTGCCAACCTTTCTTCCTGCGCTGGCCTATGCTTTTGCATCACAGCCACTGCACAGCAACCTGAAAGACTCCTTTTCCAGGGGTGAGATTCCCAAGCACAAATGCAAGGAGCCATGAGAGTGAGCCCTCAGGGGCCAGTGAGATAGCCCAGTAGAATAAACACTTGCCTGGCAAGCGCAAGGACCTGAGTTCAATCCCTGGTTCTGGAGAGAGACAGAGAGAGACAGAGAGAGACAGAGAGAGAGAGAGAGAGAGAGAGAGAGAGAGAGAGAGAGAGAGAGCCCTCGAGAACAGAGCTCTGGGCCCTGGATTAGGCAGGTGTGTACGAGTCTACTCAGTCCTACACCACCATACATTGAAGGCACACAGACTCTGCAGCTGCACAAGCCTTGGAGCAAATTATAGATGCAAAACAAAGTTCTGTACAACTCCCCTCAGCAGGAGAGAACTCACGGCTCCCGTAAGCCACGCCACCCCATAGAACTTTCTGCAGCATTGTCCTTTCATGAGCCTTATGCTCCAGTCTTAATTACCTGACATGGCAGCCCCAAGTCACATCTAGACATTTAATTATTTAATTAATATTTTAATATAAGAAGGAATTAAGAGTTGAGATCCTTGGTTGCATGAGTTATATTTCAAGTGTTCAACCAATTCATGTGACTAATGAGATTGGTTGGCAGCCCAGACCAGCTTCTTATCCTTGATCATGCACTGAAATTATCTGGGGAACTCTTTAAAATACTAATATTTGCCTCTCCCCTATCTCTCACCCAAATTCCGCTGTGATTGGTCTAGGCAGGGTCTGAATTCTTTGTATATCCTGAGTAATTCTACTGTCTGGCCACGGTCAGAACTATTCCTCTAGCCACCTAGAACTGGCTTGTCACTGCTTTTCTCCTTTTGCCCTTATGAATGAATGACCCTGTGAACACTAGGGGTTATTACTAGTTCTCCCCAAGCTTGTGACTTACATCTTTTTGAGGCTATAAATAACCCTGAAGGGTAAGGTGGAAATGGACAAAGGATGCAGTTGTGTTCTGCTCAGGAACACAGGAGGGGGTGACTACTTGGGAGGGGATACATGGGCCTAGCAAGCCCCTTATACCAGGGCAGGGCTGTGTCCAGGGGAGAAGACTGAGTACTATATGAGCCCCCACCAAAGCACACCCCAAACTCAGGACTGTCCCTGACTCTTCAGGGCCTTTCAGGGCTCTGTAGCAAAGAGTCTTGGGCAGCATGAAGTCTCTGGGCTCGTCATCTAGACTTGGTTTTCTGAGGAGGAAGGTAGCAGGTAGGGACTCCCACCCAGGCCCATCCCTCCACAATATGATGCCCTTGCATTTTCCAGGAATGCAAGCAAATCAAGGCCAATCAAGAATATGAGTGAGCAAAAGCAAAACTTGATTTCTGATGAGAATCTTACTACCCAGACAGTAGGCAGTGACAGACCCAACTTTTCTATAGGAAAGCCTGGCTCCTGAAAGCCTTGTTCCTCCCCTTGTCACTCCATTGACCAAACTCAGAGAAATAGGCTTGCTTTTGTCATGTCCCAAACAGTGGCCACCATGTGGGGTACCCAGCGTCATAGTACTGCCGTGAAGCAAGGACCTGCTGGATTAGCCCGTCAATGCTGAACAGAGTGTCAGGAGCTCTGCACAGATGGGGGAAGAAACTAGAATATATATTTGTCTTCATCAAGAGGAAATGTGAGGAGGAGAGCAAGCGAGAGACAAACGGATGATAAATAAACAAGCAGGATGACTGCTAATATGAGTCATTCTATGAAGAAAATAAGAGTCACGTGACAGAGAGGGAGAGGCGAGGGAAGATTCCCTGGAGTCCTGGTGCTGAGGGAGTTTCCCGAGCAGGGACCTCTGGGCTGAGACCTGGCCATACCTTGCTGCATCCACCGTGCTGATCGTAGAGGCCATCTGTAATAACCATGGCCCACAAAGGCTAAACATGGCCACTCAGAACTATCCTTGGATATCACTAAGCTTAAAAGTAAAGACAGGCAAAAAGCAATGGAAGGTGTCCTCTCTAGCCTGTCCCCAGGAAGGTCCCATTGTCCTCCTGTTCCTGACTGTGGACAAGAGTGGGCCTCTGCAGAAGGAACGTTTTCCAGCCATCTAATCATGTCGAAAGACACCCAGGTGCCAAACGCAGTGCCTTGGGCTTGAAGGCTGGATCTGGGGAATCAGGGCACGTAAACACAATGCCCATGACAAGCAGCGAATAGCAAGCCTTGCCCTTTCCTGACAAAGCCCAATCCTGAGCATGCTAGAAGTGCCCAGAAGATGGAGCAGGGCTGATCCCGTCCACTACTTTCTCTCCAGAACCTGACACACAGTAGGTCCTAAAGAAATCTGTATGGAATACTTAGGAGAGGAGCAAAGAAAGTTGAGGTCTCTCCCAATGAAAGAAAGCTCAAGGTTGGGAGTGATCTCGGGCTCCCAGCTAGTCTGTGACCAGCATGGTATGAAAAGAGATTTTCAGATGTATCCCAGTGTAATCCGCAGATATCAACCCACCCACATGGGCCCAAGGGAGATCTTCTAAAGAGACACTGGAAGTAGTACAAGCATGGCCGAGTGATGAAAAATTCAAGTTCAACCCCATCTAACACTGTCGGGATAATCTGTGTGGTTACAATAAGATTTACTTGCAGCCTTGGAGAAATTCATCTCAAACACTGTTCCTTTAAATTAATGTTTAAACGTAACTAAGAAGCACACGATTCGATGTTCTTTTGTTTGGCTTTTAATGGAGAGGGGAATGAGGCTCAAGACATTGACCAGAGAAAGAGGAAAATGACCAGAGTTGATGGTGACCAAAATACCACATCTCCAGTGAACCTCGAGGCCCCAAAGAGTCCATGGTAGCTGGAATTTGGTCCCTGGGCAAACCCTTCACCTGTGATCAGCTAGCAGTAGGTAAAGGTGCTGCTGAAGGTGAGGCTCAATCCTGGTTTTTCTGTCTGTGTCATTTTCGATCGAGCGTGTCACACAGTTTCCTGTTTCATCTCCCAGTTATTCTGAAACAAAAACATGCACGAAAAAAACATAGGTCACTGCCAACCGCACTGATAGTCACTGCAGCACATGGAAACCGAAAAGGGAAAGACAGATCACAAATGCCATTATAAGCCAGAGAAGCAAATTTATCAGCATCTATTCATATGATGACAACAAAAATTACAGGTGGTGGTGGTGATGTGTGCCACCTATTTAAAAATAATTCAAAGGGGACCAGAAAGACCAGTGTTCCCAACACCCAGTGCTTTGTTCGCGGCCACCCTGTGTGTTTAGTGAAAAGCCAAGGCCAGTTCTAACTTCTCCAGCACGGTCCCACTCCCGGGGGGCCCTGAGGCTCTTCTCTGTTTGCTCTTGATTTGGCTAAAGGACACACACAGGACTCCCAAGACCACCCAGGTATCTGCCCAGGCAATCGCCTTGGTGAGTGGTCTCAGAGGAATTCTAACTCAGTGTGGTCCTGGCCTCCAGTTCCCCCTGTCCTCTTTCCATCCCAGGAGACAAGAGCCACCCAGGACAGCTGCCCTTCCCCCCAGGAACTTTACCCAGTCATTGCAGCTTGTCTGAACCTGTGCCAACACCCTTGGGGACAGGAGAGGCAGCAAACTGGGCCCCTGACAGAGCAAAGGCCCTGAGGGCAGCAGAGAGCTGACAGAAGTTCCAGAAAGACCAGGGTTCTATTAATAACTGCTCTGCTGCTTGACACCAGTGTGGTCGCCCCCCGCCCCCGCCCCCAAGCTACACTTGGGCTGCAGATCGTTCTCAGCCCTCCCAGACAGGTGAAAGGGTATTTCCAAAGACAGAAGGCAGAGCAGATTCACAAATACAAACCGGGCCATGCCCCCAAGCCCATGCCTCAGCTGCACAAATCCAGCCCCGCACTTAAATCTGCTGGTCAAACACACCAGGGGGAGATTTTCCAGGGCAGAGCTACGGCCAGCACTGCCATGGGAGGAGATCAAGTCCCAGCCAGACTTCCACTCCCAGCCCTGTTCTGTGTCCAGTGCTACTGATGGCCGGAAGGATGACCGCTCAAAGCTCCCCTGGGATCTGGCTGTCCTCCGTGCACGCAGCTGGCCCCAGATGCAACTCCAAGCTTCCCAAGCACCAGAGCCCCCTGCCCCTCACTGCTGCCTTTTGTTTGTGACTGGCAGAAGTGTGAGGAGTTCTGACTTTGGGAAAACTCTATCCTTCCCTAGAGATTCCTCCACCGCACAGAGTGGCACCCAAAGGACCGAGGAGTTAGGAAATAAGGCTCTCCGACCGGCTCATTGCATGCCCACACGCAGGTGGGTAAACCTTCCGCATCCTGGCTCTGCAGCAGGCTCCCGCTGCCTGGTGTTAGGAAACCCCTAGGGCAGGCTGGGAACAGCCTACAGGGCCTGGGTGAAGCTCCTCTCCTCTGCCCCTCTCCACAGGTCATCACTGTGGGCATGTGGCTGTTGTGACAGTCCTCCTTATGTTTGGAAACTGCATTGTTTCTCTTAGTGCCTGTGCACATGAGTTAGCTAATCCATACAGACTCCTGTAGCTTCTTTCTTTCTTTCTTTTTTCTTTTCTCTCTTTCCTTTTCTTTTCCTTCCTTCCTTCCTTCCTTTCTCTCTTTCTTTCTTCTTTCTCTAAAAGTCCCCATTTGGTAGTGGCAGTGTGAGACATGGGCACCGGCCCTGAGATACTTCGTCATTTTGCAGGATCTCCACCCGGGAAAAGCTGCTTCCCATTCTGCAGCCTATGAGCTAGCATTTTCTGGTGTAGCTTATGGCCTGGCATCTAGGCCCAGGACCTTGCACACAGGGCCTTCCTGGGTGGGCAAAGAGAAACAGGAACTAAGCAACGCATCAGTGGCTGACATGGGTAGAAGGGGAAACCTAGTTCCCTTCGCTTCACTGTTGAAACAGAGGTGGCTACCAGCCTGTGGCCCTCCCCAGCTCTCCTGCTTCTGACTAGGACAAAGTGCCAAAATGCCAGTGCCCCAATGGCTATGGTGTGGCATGCCCAATGGGGTAGAGCTGGACCAAAATCAGCTCAAGAGGTAACAGGGCCCTCAGGCTCACTGGATGCCCCCCTGACAAGGTGCAGAGGAGGAGGAGGAAGTGGGCAACCTTCCCAAGGTCACACTGGAAGGGACACAGCTAGGACTGGGACTGGTCTTCCCACCTAGTCCCCAAGGGTTTGGGGCCATTTTGTCCACTGCAAGACCTTGAGTTTGCTGGTCTGGGAGCTTTTGCCTGCAGGAATCCAGTTCCTGAGGAGACCATGCTGGCTGGCTGGCTTGTCACTGATGACCCAGAAGAGCCACCTAAGAACTTAGACATTCCCTTAATTCCCAGTAAATCACACACATGACTTCCCATACGTCCGAGAATGGACAGAGACTACCAATGCCTTCCCAGCCCTGGCACAGACCTAACTAAGCCAGTTTGTGGGCACTCGTATGGGTCTCTGTTATCCTCTGCTTGGCTGAGCTACGCAGTTTCTGTGAATGTCTCACTTAGGGCCTGTCAGGTATGTCCCAGATCTGGCCAATGACCTTAGGGCCATGTGTACCACACTGAACACCAGCTCTACTCAGGGTCTGGAAACACAGCCAGGCAATCTGGATACTCACGGAGCCTGTCCCAAAGTTTGCTCCTTTTGCTTCTTGACAGCACTCAGAGGTGAGGCTGCCAGCCAGGAAAGCTAAGAGGGGAGGGATACCCGCCCTGGCCTTCTCCCTACCCTGCATGACTCAGCAGGAAGGCTGATTTGCCCCTAAGTCCATCCCTCTCAAGGCCCTACCTACTTCCTGGGCAGTCAGTACCAAGGCAACAGATGTGAAGACCACAGACTTGCTCCAGCTGTCATATCCAAGACCCTGCCGGGGCGTTCCCTCTGAGGTGCCATGCCAGAGCCCCGGCTGCCCACACACAAAGCAAAGATGCTTGCACCCGTCCAGCCCCTTCACAGCACGAGGAAAGACACCAGGGAGACAGCTGGGGCTGCTCAGGGGCACCAGGGTATGCAGCTGTTGGGAGGCTGCTGCCTTTATTTTCTCAGAAAGTGACTCTTGTCCATCACATACTCCCTTAGGGATGAGGAAACTCATTGTTTAGGTGAACCACAAGGTTTCTGTGCTGAAGACGTCAGGGCAAGGGGGGGCATGACCCGAGGCTCCCTGCCATCCTCCCGTGTGCGCAAAGCTGGGCCTCTATATTGCTACTGGGCTTTGAGGGTGCTTCCCTCTTGTTTTCCAAATTCTTCTTATCTCGGAGAATTGACCAAGACAAGCAAAAGTGGTGACAAAGTTTATTTGAAAAGTGAAGAGTAAGAGAGAAAGAAACTGGCTCTGCAGAGTGAACTTGGGCCAAACAAAAGGGGGGGGAATAAATAAAAGTATACCCTGAGGAGTATAGGGCAGGCTACCTCAAGGGAAGCCACGGGTGAGCTCGCCATGGTGTCTGTCCTTTCATCCCATCCACAGCTTGCATGAACCCACAAGAAATTCTATACGTGGTCCTGGGAGTTGTCCCTGAGTAGGTCCTGGGGCTCCCCTGTGGCTCTCTTCCCAGCCAGTTTAGGCCACGCTATCTCCCTATCTTGATCTCTGTGAGCTGACCTGGAGACTAGAGGCCAGGGGGATTGAGGAGCAGCTTCTGTAAGGTCTTCCATGTATCATCATAGGCTACATGGTTCACTAGAGGCTGTGTCCCAGTGTCGGGGCTGTCACCACCCTGGCTGCGGAGGATGGGGCTGTGCCCAGATGACCCCACATCCAAGTCCCCTAAGCAGCCATGACTGAGCACTCCTCTTGCTAGACAGTGCTTCTGGTGTGCCTTCACCAGGGCCTGCCCTGAGCACTCTCAGCCTGGCAGGATAGGGCATGTCTCACCAGGCAGGACCAGAGGCACCAGAAGCTCAACAACTGGCAGGAGAGGTGGCACCAGCTTTCAATCCAGCATCCTCATTTCATGCTCTGCCACCTCCTGGGATGATAAGGAGCTTGAGTGTGATTCCAACAAGAGGCCCTGAGGATCTTGCCGGCTGGCCACCCTGTGGGTTCCAAGAGCACCTCTGACCACTCCCTTGATTTGCACTAAAGCTGGAAGCAAGCAAGAGTCAGCAGCCCTCACCAGGAGATCTTCAGGCCAGGTCCTGTATGCCCCTCGCATCAGCTACTTTCACCACCTTTTGCATAAAGCCCATTTTCCAAAGAACAAAGTCTCAGAGACATTTTGTTAGGCTTGGTCTGGTTGACAATGAATAGCCAGAATTACAGACAACTACGCTGTACCGCTGCTGAGAGACACGGAAGGCCTTCGCAAGGCCGGCGTGGCCCTGCAGTTGTGTTAGGACACCTGAGGGGCCTTGGGCTTCCCCAGTGCTGGAGGAAAGTGCAGACCCCTTCTGATGCAGTCTGTGCATCATTTTTATCACTTGTGACCCTAGACAGTAGGTCTCAGGTGGGTCTCTGGCAAGGCAGCATAACACCCCTTGCAATGTGTTAGAAATGCAAAGTCTCCAGCACCTGCCTGGAAGCACAAGGTCCTGAGTTCAATTCCCAGTACAGGAAGGAAGGAAAGAAAGAAAGAAGGAAGAAAGGAAGGAAGGAGGAAAGGAAGGAAGGAAGAAAGGAAGGAAGGAAGGAAGGAAGGAAGGAAGGAAGGAAGGAAGAAAGAAAGAAAGAAAGAAAGAAAGAAAGAAAGAAAGAAAGAAAGAAAGATTGACTGGGGAGATAGCTCAGTAGAA